CTGACGCTTGTGCACAAAATGCTAATCAAATCCACTTGGCACCTGTGGGATTGAAGGATAGATAGTGGCATATCAAAGAAAGTGGCAGGACAGTCAACAACAGAAAATGTAACATAAAATCCGATAAGGTTGTAACACATAGAGATAGAAGTGATGGATCGGATACAATCTTTCGTTTAATGAGGTGCTCCTTATCCAACAGCAGGCAGCCCTTGAAGTGACAAACTCTACAGCAAATAAATAATAACAGAGAAAATAACACTCGAACTTTGTGTTAAATCTATCACAATGTGCAGTTCAGATGTCTTTTTAGACAGTCTTATTGCCAAACACGGCAAAACAGAGGCAGTAAAAAAAAGTGTTAATGACCCTTTAGTTTGTGCACATGAGATTCTCCGACCACCCAGAGGCAAACAAAGCTGGTGTACAGTACGGTACTCATGATGACATCAAACAATAGTTGGTCAGATGCGGGTTTGGATGGGAAGACCACGATTACTCATGAATGAGACTCACGATGGACGCCCGGGCTTTGCCCCGTGAGTCACAAGGCCTCATGTAGTGTACTTGCAGAGCTGCTCTGTGCGACAAGCTTCAGCAGCATGGCTATGTTTATCATTTGCAATCATGTGCTCAAGCAACTGTGCAATTCTCTTTCCCCCCCACCCTCTCTCTCCTCGCTTCTTTTCTTTCACTCTTCAGACGCATAAGCATGCAGCTGGAAACGGTGAAGAGTTTGGGCACATCTCAAAGGACAGCTTCTGCATGAGTTGGCCAACATGGGAGACAAGGGGGACCTTCCAGCTGTTTGGAGCAGAATATGCCAGCCGCTGATGGCGTGCCAGCAAGAACGAGATCTGCGCACACATACATTTTTATTTTGTATTCGAAAGGGCTCACTATTGATATAATGGATCACCAAGCCTCGTGCTATAACACTAACCCTAACACTTAAAACTAAATTCCTCATCTCAATGCTTAGTTTTATTCAAAGACTTACATCTAATAGTTTGGTATTTTTGTGTGTTTCAGAGATATGACAAAAAACACATAGTGCATTTGCCTGCAGGCCTGACTAATTATGAATTCACATTGTGCTTGTGCAGATCCAGTGCTGACTCTTTATCCAGGAAACCAAGACATGCAGCAGCTGACTAGGAAGTCTTAATTGTAGTTGACATAACCTTTTAAAAGCCCACAATTTGTCCACACAATCAACCAGACGTACAGTCCAAGGTTCATTGTCTGCAAACTAAATGTCATTTGCTGCCTTCATAAAAACCTTCAGTGCCTAAGGGCGAACACACAAAGCAAACCAGCAGACATGTTTCCACTGACCAGCTGCTGTTTGTAAAAACCTACCACCGGGATTAAGATTATACCACATGGTCATAATTAATAGGAAATACCGTGGCTGATTTTTGTGGTATTGCTAATGACTTCAGAAAGGTGATGTCAGTGTGAAGGAAGGCTTCCATTTGAAACGCAGTCTGAAAATGTCTCGTCTATCTGGAAGAGCTGAAATTCGCCAATCGTTATAGGATCAAGCTATTGCTGCAAGATGTCCATTTGTGGGATTTAACTGTCAGCAAAGATGTCTCAGTTTGTCAGATGGGACGCAGCCAACGTCCCATCAGACAAACTGCTCAAAACCATTAACCTGGTTATGCATATCTACAGGAGTTCATGTATTAACTTTAATTAGTACGTAGGTCTATTCCTCAATCATAACTTCACTCACCCACAAGTCTACATAACTCAACTCTACCATTTAGCATTGTTTGTCCTCCCTCACTCTCAACTGTTCTTTCACCTCTATCACTTTCATCCCTCATCCCTCAACCCTTTCAGTGCTACCAGGGATTAGTCAGTGTAAATAGTGACATTTTCCATGATAATCAATCAACATTTGTCATAACTTTCTAGCAAAAGTTACAAGTGATTGCCCCTCTGCACACGCAGCTGAAGATATGACACCCAGGAACTACCGATGAGCCACAATAACAAATCTAAACTCCAAAGTTTGGATGAGGAGAAGGACATATGGAATGGGCACAGCTCACATGTTGAAGTAAACGAAGAGCTCAGCCACAAACCAAAGCTCTCAGTTTATCAGCCTGTATGTGTTCTGACCTTCACCTATATTCATAATGTATGGACATTAACCAAATAATTGACATTCAAGTTCAGAGCGGCTAAAATTAGGTTCTTCTGTATAGGGTGGATGGGTGAAGCCTTAGAGAGAAAATGAGGACCTCTATCATTTGGAGAAGCTTGCAGTGGAGTCACTGCTCCTCTACTTCGAAAGCAGTCAGTTGAGGTGGTCACTTTGAAGGTGTTAATGAGGAAAAGGTGTCTCCTTTGCTCTGGGAATATTGTGGCATTCCCCACAGCGAGCTTGAGGGTTTTGCTGGGGAGAGAGTTGTCTGTCTGGGTTTCCCTCCTGGGCCTGTAACACCCATGATTTGCTCTGAAAACAATCAATACAGAACTTGATTGTATTTGAAATAAAAGCAAAGCAAAGCAAACCCATTGGATATGGGGGCAATGTGCAACACCTTTTCTGCACAGTGCTTATATCAGTGGTAGTATTTTGTAGACGCTCACTGCGGTCTGAAAAGGGACCAATGTCATAATCTAACACTGCCTTTGCAGGTTCCTCACGTCACATTAAAAGCAAGGCTGCAACTTTGGCTCAAATGAAGACGAACTACAAATGATTGGAGAAAAGAAAAACAGGATCCCGCCCGTCTTTTATCAGAGAAGAGCAGCTTATAGGAAAAAATAACCACGGGTGTCACAGCAGAATAAATCTGAATTCATGACCTTAATTAAAATAGCTAGTTACTGTATGAACCCGCGGGCCAACGGAGACACAGAGGAATATTCTCTTTCGGGGGAAGACAGACGGAAAGACGGAAAGGTGTTGCACTGAAAAGGTCACTGGTAGTGCCAGAAATGTGAGGACCGGATGTGGTGTGGGCTGGGGGAGGCAGTGAAGCGCACATAATGACCCACACGTCTGACGAGGTGTGGGCCAGTTTCCTTACGTCTGACGAGGTGTGGGCCAGTTTCCTTCTTTCCTTCCTTCCTTCCTTCTTTCTTTCCTTCCTTCCTTCCTTCCTTCCTTCCTTCCTTCCTTCTTTCCTTCCTTCCTTCCTTCCTTCCTTTCTTCCTTCTTTCCTTCCTTCCTTCCTTCCTTCCTTCTTTCCTTCCTTCCTTCTTTCCTTTCTTCCTTCCTTCTTTCCTTCCTTCCTTCTTTCCTTCCTTCCTTCTTTCCTTCCTTCCTTCCTTCCTTCCTTCTTTCCTATCCATCCATCCATCCATCCATCCATCCATCCATCCATCCATCCATCCATCCATCCATCCATCCATCCATCCATCCATCCATCCATCCATCCATCCATCCATCCATCCATCCAAGGTGTTCCCAAATCAGAGGGGAAATATAGTCATGCCCAATGAGTAGATGAATCAAAAACATCAAAAGAGGAAATGGCCAAGAGGAATCCTGATCTGATGCATGAACCACCTCACCTGACTCCTTTACATGCAGAAGAAACCACCTTGTGGAGGGAGCTAATTTCAAACACTCCTGATCACTCTTTGGCTCATCATCCATATAAAATGGCCAAAGGTGAAGGTTTGAATGTGGAAGGCCTGCTAAATTTAGAGCTTTGCTTTCCTGGCTCAGTTCTTTCCTTGGTGTGACAGACAAGAGTAGCACCCACCTCTCTGGAGATGATCCATCATCCGCTCCAGTCTAGAATCGCTTGTGAACAAGACACTTGGATATTAAACTCTTCCACAGAGCACCGGCCCAGAAGGAGGAATCCATCTTTTTACCAGCCCAGATCCACGGCTTCACGCTAAGAGGTCACTAAGAGTCATTGGTATTCTGAGGTTTTACACATTCAAACACAAAAATAAAGTGTGCGTGACATAATTCCTAGGTTTTAAAGTCTTTTGTGAAATACCAGAGAAAGAGTCAGAGCGACCAGCGTTTTCTCTGGCTGTATGCAGCGTAGAGTATTGTAGTGCTAACCGTCTCGACGGTGCTGCTGTGGAATCCAAAAAGCTACATAATGGGCACAGTGACACAGGATAACGCCGGGCAAAACCTCGATAAACAAGCCGCCATTTGAGACCAATTTCAAGAATGACCAGCTAGATTTTCTGACAGACGTTGTGTTAAGTCAACCAAAATGGGTTCCATTCAAAAAACCAATGTTGAGCACAGCCTCACACAGTATTCATAAGGACTGAGAAAACTCCATATGGGACCCATATACACATTTTAGCTGGGCAAGAATGCTTTCTTTGGTGTGATGAAATAGGTGCATTTTTTTTTGTCTTTTTTTCTTGTCAAGACCACCAAGTCTGTTTCAGGTCAGTACCTGCTGACAGACACCTGTAAACTCACCTTAATCGTGCGGTTCGTGGAAACTGAAAGTCAGATTCGTGGGTTCACTTCATGCAACTGTGATGAACCCCCATCTCTCTTCAGCTGATGAAAACTACGACCCTCTTCACACTTGCAAAGCCTCACACACAGGGGGACAACAACACACACACTTACACACACACTATCTGGGCGAATGCTGAACACCCTGGTGGCTCCAGCAATTTTTCTCTACACAGCAAAAAGTCCAGTGTTAATTTAACTCCCACAGAGTTGATTTTAACACTTTTTCAGTGCTTATATAGTCCACTCTCATCAAGAGTTAAATTAACACTTTCAATATAGTTAAAATTTTAACACTTTATCAGAGTTACTTATTTAACTCACAAAACAGGGTTAATTCAACACTGTGGGATATACTGGATAACACTGATCCAGGAACAAAAATTTACCACTTTATTAGTGTTGATTTAACACTTTCAAGTGTTATTCATTCCAAAAAGTTACTTTATGATTATGATTAATTATAATAATTAAGAAAAAAAACTTGACACAAGTACATACATTTTGAACACTTTATTTTTGCAGCTGTGTTCCCAACATTTTAAATTGTGGTACAATGATCACACATTCATTAGAAATGCCATAAGAGTTTTGAATATCAAAAGAAATTTAAGTTCAGGGATTTTTACTAAATGCCTTTCTTCACTTTGAACAATTTTGAAAGCATGATGATGATCAAATGTGTCCGCTTGGATACAGTTTTTGACACACAAAAACAGGTCAACATTTTTTAGCCTGACTTACTCACAAGAGAGCAAAACGGACTGGTTTAGCAGCCTTGCTCTCACGTCCCTAACTCTGGGCGATTCCTTCATTTTGCCCACGTCAATGTTATACACTGTTGTCTGCAGAAATGTGTAGAAATTCATCAATGCAGCATCATAAGAGAAATTAAACACAAAATGTGCTTTGAATAGCTCATCAAATGTTCCAAGAGAACTGTTTGTCTGGCATGGGATGAGGCACTTATCCATGACGATGTAGAAGCTGTCAATCTTGCTTTTCTGACGCCCAACAGCAAGGAGGTATGGCTGCAGACCCCATTGTCCCCGAAGATGCTCCTCTAAACTGCAGCATGACTAAAATTAAAAAGATATACACCAAACATTAGAAACAAAACATACAGCTTTACGATACGTGACATAAAAATAAATTTAAGTATGCCCAGACATCTTCAAAGCTGTCATTCAAACATCTGTATTTATGCATGTCTATAAAAGGAAATAGACAAATAATTTTGCATATTTTAAATTTCAATTACCTTATGAATGACAACAAGTCTCTCATCTGCATCACTTGCACTGATTTTTGGAGACTTCTGTCCTCCTGGTTGCGGTGGAAGAAGATGTAAGAGAAGTAACAGCGAGGCCATTTCTTGGTCATAGCCTGAGGACAAATTTATAAAAGTTTTCAGCTATAATATCAGAACTTTATGAATACTCTGAATAGTCAACTATCTTCAGATATATCCAGGTACTTACTAGATGTGTTAGTGAGGTCATCGCTTTGAAGACTTTCCGCTGACTGCACCAAACTTCTCAACTCAGGTGGAGAAGTGAAACGCTTAGCCTCCTTGATGACATTTGGTTTGAAGAACACATCCCACTTCTGCAGCAGTCTGGATGAGGTTTCTTCACTGAATAGGAGACGGAAGTCTTGATCAATCTTTAATAGCATGTAGAAATCAAACCATTATAACAATGTAAAAATCCACATTTAAAGACTTCAGTTGAACACTTACCAATCCTTTTGTGTCCAGGAACCCGGGAATGTGGTCAGGATATATCATTTCTTCCACTGGCATCTTTAATAAGCTTGTGACGGTGCTCAAAAGTCTCTCTCATCTTCTGAAAGATCACGGACCTGTCTGTGGTGTGGTTAAGCAGAGATATGGCCTCCTGGCAGGCATTCCCATCAAGCTGTTTTTCAACAATCACAGTTCTCTGTATATTTGGGCCTCCAGATGAAATGTAATTGGTGCTACTTGATGGCACAAGAGATCCTCTTTGAATCTTCCTTAGGACCGTTTTAAGACGCCATGAAATGTATCCAGTGCTGCTTGCTGCATCATAAAAGTGCTCCTAAAAAAAAGAACAAAAATTAAATGCAAAATTACAGTTTTGAGTCACAAAATAAAAGAGCATGATTGATTGTAGAAAACAAACAAACAAACAAAAAAAACATTACATTGCCTTTTTTGGTGTATGGATCCTTGAGGGATGCCTTTGTCACTATTCCAAAGGCATACTTCTCTCTGATTGCTTTTGTGGGGGAGGGCCTAGATTTTAAATTGGTTTCAATTTTTTTACAATTATTATACATAAATTAAATAGTGTAAAAACATACCCTTGTTCATCAATCATGTGAGCCACCAGTATGTTCACCATTTGTCTTCTTGTGGCATCAGTTAGGGTTTCTGTAGTTTCATACTCCTGCAGAATTTCTTCACCACCAGACTTGCTTTGTAGGACACCTTCAACAAGCTATAAAATGAACAATAAAAAAAGAAAGAAAAAAAAAAAGGAAATATGCAATATGCAGATGACCAAAATATGACAAAACATGTCTGGGCATACAAAACAGAATTTAGAGGCAGACAAAAAATATTGTTACATTTTTAGCAGACACTGAGTTATCAGGATTCTCAGTTTTTTGCTTCTTGCGTGGCATCTCATCCATTAGTATTGTTGATGTTGATGCATTTGAGTTGAAGCTTGAGTCAGAAGCAGATGACCATTCTGAGAACTCTGAAGAAAGAGACAATAGACATCAGTTACATTCTTTGGTAAAATCTGTAAAACTGTTGATTTAATTTGCTTTGGTATCTCACCATCATAGCAGAAAACTGTCTGTACCACATTGCCTTGTCTAAGGAGGTCACTGAATATTTCTTCGTCAACTTCAGTATCTGTTGCATCTTTGTATGTAACTTTGGTATCAGGTGGCAGGCAAAATTGTTCAATGACTGAAAAAACAAGGCAAGATTTAGAGCCTAATTCTGTAATTAGCTGGATTTTTTTAAACTAACAGTTACTTGATATTGATCATGTGATTAGCATAAAACATATTAATGAAAATACAATTTTTACTTACCACAAATGTGTAAAATATGTGTTAAACAGACATACATTGAAAAGAATAATGCCCATGCCCCACAGATGATGAATAAATAACAAACCTTTCTCATGAAACTGATTAAAGTCAAACGGCCCTTCGACTTCCTCCAACTTCACATACTTTTGCAGGTCACCAAACTTTACATGGATCAGCATTTTATTTAAGCATGGGATAAACCTAGACAAAGCAAAATAAGGTAAAGGTCAAGAGTTCACCTCACTGTAACTCTGCTATTGGTGTCACGTGACTTCGGCTCGTTGAAGGATAAACTTCGGCTGACTTCGGCTCGTTGAAGGATAAACTTCGGCTGACTTCGGCTCGTTGAAGCTAATAGTCGTTAGCTTACATTCACAAGGCCAAAATTATCATTTTAAACGGCAAAAACGTAGAAGTATATTTTTTACGAGTGTATGGTCCGACAAAATATGTTTTGTAAGAATTACCATTATAATAATATCAGGTGTAAGTGCTACTAGCTACCAGCTAACATGTTGTGTAAAACTGTTGCAAAATGGACATATTCAGCTGCTTTTCATTATGTGGTAATTAGTAGAAATAGTCAAATCACTCACTCTGTCAATGTAATAGTGCTGGACAAAATATTTAGTAAGTTGGACACTTACCGTGTAGAACAGGAATGAAGAAAATGGAGCCGTGTTCAGATTGAAATCAAACTGAAGCAGAGGGGGGAGTTTATTTATCTCCCAGCAGAGTTAATTCAACACCAACGCAATCAACTCTGCGAAATAACTCCAACACTGGGCATCATTTAAATCGCTAAATGTTAAAAATACACTTACTGAGTTAAAATTAACTCTGACACGTTTAACCCTGAAATTTTAACACTCCAGTTTTTGCTGTGTAAACTCACATCAAAGAAACTCACTTATCTTTTTTTTTTAAGCTCCAGGCTTCTGTGCAACTGTACAATAAACACAGAGTCAACACAACCCACTGCCTGACAGAGAGGGGTGGCTGTAGTAAAGCTTTGATTCAGTCGCAGTGAGGACGCCCATGGCTCGCAGGTGATCCCCGTTTTACCGTTTCCTGTCACTCGGGGTAAAAACGGGTCATTTCAAGTACCTACACAGTTTGCACAATTTGTGCGTGTTCACAAATTGGAAATACACACGACGATCGACTGCACGTAAACATAAAAGATCTGGTCGGATTCGAAGAAAACGGCAAGCGCGTAATGTGCACAAAAAAAAACCCTCTCTCCCCCAAAAAATAATCCAGATGGGTGGAAAGTTTCACCGTCCAAATGCGCAAATTTAACTCAAAATAATCCCGTTTACTCCTTGCAAAAAAAAAAAAAGCCTGTACCTTCATCAACAGCACACATGTGAATCGGAGCGACAGACAAAACATCTGCATGTTTTGCGTCGCAAAATGAAGTTATTGCACGCAAAATAAATGGTGCGCATTTCAACTCACCCATTCCAAAACCCGGATGAATCCCAGAGGCAGTTTGAGGACCTGAAACGTCCCCGCGGGCGCCAGCTGCACAGAGACAAAGCGAGGGGGATGAAAATATTATTATTGTTATGATTTTTTTTTTTCTCACCGATTAATGGAAATTGAGTTGTGATTAACCCGTCCGCGTGACGCGTCCGTTCCGTTCGGTCCCTCACCTGGTGAGCGGTGTCCATGTCAGCAGCAGGGAAATGGATCAAAAAACCTCGAACCGGAAAAAATAAACAAAAACAAAAAAACAAAAAACTAACAAACAAAAAAAGAGACTCGACTGATGTATCTGCCGCGTAAACACAGAGGGAGGGAGAGGGGGGGGTCTCTGAATCCCGACTGCTAGCGGAAAAGCCCGAACACTCGACGATTCTCCCCACCTATCTGTTTACCTTTTCATAATGAGTGAGAAGCCATGGAGACGCTCAGAGAGAGGGAGAGAGAGAGAGAGAGAGAGAGAGAGAGAGAGAGAGAGAGAGAGAAGAGACAGAGAGAGAGAAGGAGAAAGAGAGAGAGAGAGAGAAGGAGAAAGAGAAAGAGATAAAGAGAGAGAGAGGAGAGAGGCTTCATCCACTCACCCCGTCATTTGCACAGACATGAAGTTCAATCTGTTTATTTTGTCAATTTATTGCCGAGTTCAGTTTCCACATGTATTTAGTTGAACATTCAGTGCCTGTCGGTTAGTTTCTTTGGATGTTGAAGGCTTTTCTCTAGAACCGCTTGCTCAAAACATATGGAGCGACCGCAATGCCAAAACGATATGAATAAACAAGTGTGGACAAAGAGTTAAATGAGTCTTTATTCATGTCACAAACAAGCAAACAAGCAAAAAACTAGTATGTTGAAGTTAAACTATATTGTATTAGGCTATAGTAATTTTCAGAAAAAAAAAATCCTGAATAAAATGTTTGAGAAGAAAACCAAAGATGACTTTTTGTCGTAATTGTCCGCTGTCTTAATGGCACTCGTGTCCGGGTCCACAGAGCTCTGCTGTCGTTCGCCATTGAATGAGTTTCCCCCAAAGACCAAACAAGAACAAGCCTCTCAAAAAGGCCACTGAGAAAGGAAGAGAGCGCGGAGAGGGCTTCCCTGAGTCTGCTTCACTGGTGACAATTCCTTTAAAGCAGAGTGGAAAGCGCTCTGACAGCATAGCTAATTTTACAACATCCCTCCGATCGCCCCACATGAGCACGCACGCGCTTTCACCCTGCCTTCCGGACTCTTCCGTCTCCACGATTAGGCAATCGTTGCGTCTGATTGGCTAACACTTTCGCCATGTGAAATCGAAATGACGTGAACAAGAGGAATGGAGTCTCTCACAGTTAGGTGAGTTAGTACTGGCCTCAATACAAACAGCGGGATCCATGCGGACCAGCCTCACGTTCCCATCATTGACCCTCTTATTGGCTTGGAACCGTTTGCTATTGGCAAAAGACTACAACAGAGATGCGGTGTAAAAAGAAAGTTCATGTACCCTGCAAAATTTAATTTGTAATTAGTGCCTTGATGACCTTCCGGAAAAGTTTTTGGCAAATATTTTTGATGAATCAACTGTGCAACTATAGAGAATAAACAATAAAAGTCACACATTTGTCCGGAGGATGTTGGGTTAACATTCACGCATTTGAAGCTGCCTCAGTCAGCTTCAGGTGCAAGTTAAGCTCTGTCTCTGTCTGTGTTGCCCTGTGGTGCACCAATATGAATAATTCCCTTCAACTCAAATATTGTTCAGTAATTCAGGTTGTCGGTTAATCTATTACACCCCTTCCCTCAACACCTTAGCCTTAGAGGCAGCCATTAACACTTCCACACATTTTGGAGGTGAGATTCTGATCCAGTATGCTTAGTGAAATCCATAACTGGCTGGTTGAACCCAGTGCTGGATCGCTCCATGTTTGAACCACAACTAGATTGGAACAATAACCCCAAAAATGGCTGCCTTTTTGCGAGCAGCTTTTAGAGAGCAGGACTCTGGGCTCTCGAAGCTAATCTTCTCTATTCGCATTGTTTGCATGTCTTTAAATGTGCCAGACTTTCCAAAGTGAAGCAACCCTGAATGTCAGTCATCTCTCAGTTTCTGTACACTGCACCGTTAAGGGTGAAGCTACAAAAATAAAAGTAGGACTCGGAAGACAAATCACAAAAAAAAAAAAAAAATCAGAAAAAAACCCCAGACATATTTAGCTACAAGCAAACTCTCTATTTGTTTCCTGGGTTTTGCTTTGTGTGCTGTAACGACCAGACTTTTCTGCCCGAGGAAGAATAACCTGTCAGGCGCAGTGACAGGTTGTCGAAACGCATCTGAGGAAACTGGAAGTGCACTGCAGAACCAGACAGAAAACACACCTGGGTACAGTAGCTAAAGGTCAGACTGTGTGTGTGTGTGCGTGTGTGTGGATGCATGTATTTGCTTTAAGTAAGAAGAGTCGCAAATAATAACTGGATACATCTCAATAAATTTAGACAGGTATTGATCGGGGGGCATTTCTGGTTCATGTGATCCTGATGACCAAACTAAAAACATTATGCATTGACAGATGCATAATGCATAAACTCCACATTTACAGAATGGGAACCCTTCATAGATTTCGTCTGAATTTCATTTATTCTTGCTCCTACATGTTTCAGATCATTAAACAATTATTAATATCAAATAAACAGCATGAATAAATAGAAAAATCAATATTCAAATTCTGGTTTTAAAAAAATATACATTATAAAAATAAAAACAAAAGAACCTAAGTAAAATAGAGGGAGAGTGGAAACGGCATCAGCAGAAACTATCACCATTCTTCTCTTCTGCATAAGCCTCCTTTAGAATGAGCCTCACAGAGGAATTACTGCGCAGAGACTAGGTCAACCGCTTATCCATCTCAACGCACCAACACAGCTTCACTGCAATTACAGCTGGACTGCAGTCGCCGCCAGAACAAGTCCACGTCTTCTGCCGCCGATGCTTATGCTCCTAGTCTGTTTTTACAGTAACTGCTGAGTTGAGAGGGAGACAGGTAATGAAGAGACACAGAAACAAACACTGTCCAAGCAAAAGCTTCAATATCTGCAGACGTGGAGGAATAGCAATGTGAAGTATTGACTTGAGGCCAAACCTTATTCCTGTTATTTTTTCTGCAGTGACGCATTTTCCACAGACGCAAATTTTGGATGGATTCAAATGTTTCATACTCAGATGTGAATTAAACCTATCCTCGCGTGCCTATGACAACACAAAGCGATGAGGCGTGAGTAGACACCGCAACAAAAGGCAGTCTTCGGAAGTGTTTCTGCAGAGAATAGCATTAGCCCGGGTCTCATTATGCACCGTTTAGACGACGCACACACAATCAGGATTAACTCCAGGGGAGAGCGAACAAAAACCAACCAACCAACTGACCCACCAAGGTGGGACCAATCGGAATGATGCTTGCAAACCAGATGTAGAGGAAATATCTGTCTACTGCTCTTCCTCAGGAATCTGTGTTTTCCTACCAAGTTCAGCTGGTGTTACTAAATACAACAGAGAAGCATCCTTCAAATTTTAAATGGCACACAAATGCTAAAACAAGTCATTGCAGAAAGGGTCTTGGAAATGACTTTTCCCTTTTTTTGCAGGCGTACGCCTACCTAGGAGCTACTCTGCTTTAGACAGATTTAGTCATCTTAAAAATAGAAATGTAATCCAAAACAAATGCATGATGTTCAACTTCAAACAATGCGGCAGTCCTGTGTTAAACAAATCAGCTCAAAACACAGAAGGCAGCATACGTTTAATTCTGTAACATGGATGTTAAATTAACATTAGTTGACTATTAACTTTTCAAACTACTACTCCATGTGCTCCTCTTGACACTGGAAAATAAATGGTCTAGATGAGAATCTCGCTCGTCAATGTAAAGTAGTTGAAGGTGTTTGTAAATTTTGCATTACATTTCTATTAGTAATGCTCTTAAAAAAAAGGTGTATTTGTACAAATCAATGGTAGATTTTATTGTTAAACAACTTGAAAAGGCACCTGAGGCTCAATTCCTCAGGACACATTGAAGTCCTTAACTTGTTTCGCTATATTTTTTGCGTTACAGTTTCTAAAACGGTTCACAAAATCTAACCCTTCCTCCAGGTTCCTGATATAAACTTGAAAGATGGAGCCCAGATGGGTTCTTGCATACTTTGCCCAGTTGGGACCCGATTGTACCCAGATTTTCCCAACATACGACCCATACAGGTTTAAAAAAATAGGGCCATGATGGCTCCTGCAGACTATCCCACAATTTTTTTCAGCCCAATTCCAAGTCATGTGTGTCTCACAAGAAATGTTGCCTGGAACCAAGTTGAAACTCATTCAAAATGCTCCAAATAATAATAATAATAATAATAATAATAATAATAATAATAATAATAATAATAATAATAATAATAAAAAAGGCTTCACATCATTCCTTTTTGCCCTGCAAAGGTCAATTGGGAAAAGTTACCTTGCATTAAGGTTTTAAGCTTTTCTTTTGGTAACTTTCTTGTCAACGTACCTTGTCCATCGCAAAAAAAAAAAAAAAAACCCAGAAAAGGTTAGCAGCAAGACAGAAAAAGGGACAAAAAGCAACTCAGTCTCAGAGAACGAGTTTCGCAGCAACAATTTAATTGCATTCGAATAATTTGACATGTTCTTAGACAAATCTGACATTGCTTCATTGACGGATGCAATGAGGTGCATGATGACGGACGGAGAAAACGATTGGAATTACTCGTTCTTAGTCCGGCTCTCACGTGGGTTGACTGATCCAGAGGGCTTTAATAAAATCACTTAACCATGACTTCAGACCTTCTTCAAATCAACTGGATGCTGCGTGGCCTGTTTTCTGTTTGTGGTTTGATAAGATTTGTACGCAAGGCACAAGGGTCAGGCGCGAGGGTCAGGCAGGCAGTCAAGCCAAAAGGTTCCTCCTTCCTCCCCGTCATTGTGTGGAGGACCTGATGCAAAGGATAATGAAGGAGAATGGACACTGATAACAGACTTAGCCTGGATGGGTTGCTAGGCGACCCATCCGGCAGGCGCGGAGCTAACGAGGCCTGCATGTTGTGGCAGTGATGGCCAATCATGGGAAGAGTAGGGACTGATGCCTGCTCTGCGCAGTGTTAACATGTCTGCGCAATGGTCACTGGCGCACGGCGCTTTTCTGGACGCGCTTTTCTTTTCTGACAGCTTCGGTCCATGAAACCACGTCACTCGCATGAGCAACGTTCATATCTTAAGGCACATCGAGGGAGCGCATGCACATCGCATTGCTTGCTACATTATTCACTATTTTGTTTATTACTATAACCATTATGATTTTGTTGAGCCTGTGTTGAGTGATCTGCAAGAGATGTCTTCACTGAGCCGATCAGGAGAACCATCTGCCACATCTGGTACCTCAGTGGCTTTTTGTCGCCTGTGCATGTTTAGTTACAAAGTGCATAGTTTCTAGCGCCCTCTGGAGGCTTTTCAGCAGCATTACAACAACGTTACGGCAGCGGGTATTGGTTGCACACGTTAAAGGTGGTTGAGGTAGCATGCGACTTTGACAGCAGCTGCATGTATTCAACCTGCAAAGGTCATAAGTATAGTTTCATAACAATCAACAATAGTTGATTGTTATGGAATTTCACAGGATCAGAATTGCAGGTTGAAATATATATATATGTGTGTGTGTATGCAGATGAAGAAGATTCATAGTCACAAAGATTTTCATCTGGAATTGATGAGAAGACAGTGCAGTGCAGAGCTCTTATGAAAAACAGCTGGTTTATTGTTACCTGACCAGAATTCAACATCGCATGAAAATACATCTGTCTTGAGCAATGACTTAAAAGTGCTCTGCTGTACGTAAAAGATAAACCATTTTTGCTTCGTTACAGGCTGTCATGCAAATATAACAGTAATTCATTCTAAAGTAAACAATTCAATGTTCGTGTGGTACATCTTAGTATAACTGCTCCTGTTGAGCAGTTATCAGCCAAACATCTGCCGTTCCATCATTCACTGAGTTGTCACCACAGAAACAACACCCATGTATTTAACGAGCTCTCAGAAGTTTAGGATTGTTTTGTTTTTCGGTTCATTGACTTGTAGTCGCTCTACTGGAAATTGTCTCTGAGATAAAAGCAACTGTTCACATGATAAAGTCGACATGGATTTTACTGCTCCATGTCGTTGTCGTTCTCATTCTGCAGCGTTTTCATGGCCAGGCCCCAGAGAGTCACACTGGAGATAAACTGGCCTTCGCTCGACCTGTAGGGCCTGCCGGTCCCCGTGAAGGAACCGCAGTGATTGTCCGACGGAGGCAAGTAGGGTCTGCCCGCGGGGTCTCTGTCCAGACACGTGTTGCCGTTCTCCACGTACGGACCGTACACGGCTTCCTGAGTGGGTTTGTTCAGCTTCAGGCGGTCGGCGGGCAGCAGAGCGGCGATTCTCTCCTGGTGGCCGGACGAAAGGAGGTGATGGGGAACCAGGGAGCGCAGCTCTGGAAGGGAGGTCATTGCAGGGTTAAGGTGCATGCTGGGTCCTGGAGTCTCTATGGGTTGTATTGCTTGTGTGGGCGGGGGACTGCACGACGAGGGCTTCCCTAAATCTGTGTCAGGCATGATGGCAGAAAACTGCTGGTCGGTGGTCGCAGCTGATGGTTTACTCCGGCGGAGTGATTTAGTAAACGAGGCCGGTCCGCTCGAGTTTTGGGTCTGCTCAGAGCTGGCTGCGGCCGGGCTGGGGACAGACGGCCCCTTGCAGTGCATGTTGCTGTGCCTCCTCAGCATAGCGGAGCGGGTGAAGCTCTTTCCGCAGGTGTTGCAGACGTACGGTTTCTCACCGGTGTGTGATCGTATGTGACGCTGAAGGTCTCCTGAGTCAATGAAGCGCTTTCCTGGATGAAGGAAAACACCGTAGATATAAAAGGCCGCTTGGATTTCACATTAAGACTGATTTATTTATCATAGATAGCTATGACCACTAATAGGAGTGGAAAACAACCCACATAGAGTCTACGTAATGATTATATAGTGACAGGTAACAAATACTAATTATTATATGCTCTACATACATTCATTTGATTACACAGGCGCAAAGGAAATTCATGTAATTGTGAAAAAAGGCCAGAAAACGACAACTCTGTATCTAATCTCTTGATAAATGGGAACACCTTACCACAAGTGGTGCAGATGTGGGATTTTTCTCCAGTGTGGCGGGCCTTGTGCTTCAGCAGCTTCCTGTGTGTGTTGAAAGACTTTCCACACTGATCACAGGTGAATGTCCTGTCTGTCGCATGAGTTCTCTTGTGCTCCTTGAGGTTACTCAAATTGGTGAATCCTAGGCAGGAGACATAAGTTCAGTTCAGCCTTCGAAGAACCATGCGAGCGACGAAAACGTGCTTGTTTACGCCGAGAGACGCGACGTTACCTCTGCCGCATATGTCGCACAGATGTGGCTTCTCTCCCGTGTGAACCACTTTGTGACGCTGGACGTCCCCCGATGCAGTGAAGCTGGTAAACAAAGAGTTGGGCTAACATTAAAATCTGTTATTTAGCCTAAAGCTGAGTACGATCCCAAACTCGTACAGACAGACGCGTTTGACGGCACCAATCTTTTTTAGACGTGCAAAAAGCCTTATCAATTTTGTTGATTTCTTGCAGAGGCATAATATCACTATAAAAATAGTATAAAAATGTAATTTGAGCACAGTTAGTTAGTAAGGAAAAGTAAAATTAAGCATTAGTTATTTACCATGCTTTCTATGCAAAAAAAACCCTAAATTGTTATTTTTGGGACCAGGTAAATTAACAAGCTTCTAAAATCGACACATTAAAGTTAAAAGGAGAATTATTAAATGAGTTGACATAGAAACTAACTTGTACTACCTTTTACCACACAGCTCACATATGTACGGCTTCTCTCCGGAATGTCGCCGCAAATGGGTCTGCAGGTTGCCTGCCTGTAAGATGAAATCACCTCGATGTCTCTTTACGACCCAACTACTTAAGAACAAAGCTGATATATGAGACCGTGTGGCGGGGAAAATACCTGAGAAAAGTTTTTGCCACAGACGTTGCACTGGAACGGCTTCTCACCTGGAAGCAGAAAATTCCAGTTTGTGTCTGAAACAGTTCGATGAATTATTAAAGATGAAGTACGTTAGCGCAGGCGCTTCATACCGGTGTGAGAGCGCTTGTGCAGCTCCAGGTTGCTCGGATGTTTGAAGATCTTCCCACACAACTGGCAGCGGTACTGCTTGTGCCCCACTTGGTGAGGAGGCTCCGACTGAGGCTTCAGATTTTGCTCCTCCTGGTTTCCAGGTGGGGGACTAGGAAGCTGGGTGTCTGCTGCTTCAGAACACTCCTCTCTTCCTAAAGGGCTGCTGCCGACGGAAGCCTCTGGAGCTTCATCCGGAGCCTCAGCGTGGGCGACGGGCCCCCCTTGGAGGCTCTCTTTGGGACAGCTGAGGACGGGCTCGGCGGCCGACTCGGCGCACATCTCCTCTAAGGCTTTCTGAGACCGGAGGTAATTGTATTTCTTCAGGTAAACGGTCTTCTTAGGACGCACGGGCTTGCTGATTGAGGAGTCGGTCGGGTCGCAGGCAGGGGTGTTTACGTTATTCAAAGGGGTCAATGAAGAGACGCCATTTTTTTCTGCTGTTACAGATGTGCAAGAAGGGCTGGGCTGGACCGTGTTTCCTAAAATCACAGGAGCGCTATTGGCACCCTGACTCATTCCGAGCTGACATTGCTGCTCTTCCACCAATACCAGAGGCCCTTGACTTGAGGATGCACTGTTTGTCTGAATTGCACTTTGCTTGAAGTACTGCTTACTGTAGAAATTACGGAGTTTGTAACCGTGAACGAGCTGCTTTTCTGCAGGCGCGTGGGAGCCGCTCTGTACGTCACACGTCGAGCTGCTGTTAGACACCGACCCCGGCATCCTCCGTGTGTGATCCAGGTCACCGTAATAGCCCGGCCTCTGGGGGTCAGGCGGGCAGTGCAGGTCAACGTCATGTGGCAGGTTACTCCCCAAAAGGCAGTCGTGCTCTGAGCTCAGCATGCCCGGGAGGGCAAACGAAGGCATCTCTACAGGAGGCGGGCAAGGTTTGAGGAAAGCGTTGCACATGCTCTGCACATTCGGGACCTGCAGGCTCTGAGCAATGTCCAGGAGAGCTTGCACGTTGTCCTGATTAATGTCGATATGGGAGGTGTACATGTAGTCCAGTATTTGGCCGATGCCGCCGACATCCTGGATCACCAGGTTGAACACGTCGTTCTTCTGACTGGGAGAGTTTTGGAACAAAGACCTGAAAAGATCGAGTAACATGTACAGGATTATCTCAGGAAATTAGAATACCATTGAACTGTTGGTTTATTGCTGCAATTTTATTGAAAAGGTGACTACAGTAGAGATACTGTGTTAAGCATCAATATATTTTAATTTGTTTAGTTATGGCTTTGAGACAATGACAACCAAACTTTCCAAAAAAAATTAAATTTGAAGACCAATAAAAAAGACTCTTACAAAATAAAAAAAATTCAGACTCTTGTAAACTCACCTTCATTGACCATGATCCTATATCATATCTGAATTTCAAGTTAAACGGAATTACGAAAATAAATTAACTTTTTGATGATTTGGTTGAGTTGCACCTGCACACACTTGTTTTTATTTTTTATACATCTCACTATAATGTAAATGGAATAAATAAATAATAAATATAATTCCTTATAATGAAATAATAAATAAAGACATCAAGGCACCTGAAATAGGAACTGAAAGCAGCCAGGACATTTTTGTGGGCTTTGAAGCAGACACCTTTCACCACCAGCATGCAGTCACAGAGAAGTCCCTGAATCCTCTGCTCCTGGAGCTGCTGGAGGAGGTAGGAGCTGTGGCTGGACAGCGTGTCCATGGTCAACCAGTCGCTGCAACTGCTCCATAAAATACAAAAACACAAGAGTCACGAGTCAAGAACCACTACTGGCGAAACAGACCCCGTCTTGTGACTCTCGGGCTGACCAGTAGCATAAACGGCACTTTCAAAATCACAAACGCACAGCTATGTTCGTTCAACACCAGCGCGGAATACGGAGTCTGAGCTGCGAGACCACCCATGCAAAAATTGGACGGAACAGTCGAGGTGGCGTCGAGGCCATAGAAGGTTGCCGTAAACCTGTGTTGCGCAACTTTTTGCGTCAATGTAGAGATTCAACGAAGAGATATTTCCTATTATCAATCGTTTGGTGAAAGCGGATCTCGAATTAGTCCAAATTGTAAGAAATATATTCCCCACCTTTTATTGGGATGATCGGTCACTTTACTACGGCATAAACAGTACGTCACTTCCTGGTGCATCACGTATTTTGAACTATCCAAACATGGCAGTTTTCTTACAAGACTTGAACATTTTATACTTGAACTTTAACTCTGAAGCATGTTTTACAAGCCTTTATAAAACTACTGAAGATTTTTCCAGTCACAGACACAAACGCTACAGATGTTTTCCATGCCCCGTAGAAACGATACGTCAGCTCTTCTGCCATATTTTGCGTGGCACGTCCGATAGTTCAAATGCGGAAGTAACGTTGAAAACAGTTAAAAACAAATAAAATAATTCTGTTAAAGAATAAAAAGGGAAATTGATTAAAAAAACGAAGACAAATAAAGCGGCAGTAAAAATCTCCTTAAAATTATTTTAACTTTAATTTTCCTTTTTGCATAATACTTAATATTTAAGGATTATTATTAATAATAAAAATAATAATAATTTTATCTAAATAGTGAAGGTGTTCTGATTCTTGGGACTGTTGAACTTTAAGCCACTCACAACATGGCGGTAGCATTGACGGATGATTCTCCAGTGACTAGTTGAGCCAGGAACTCTGTTTTTCTGAGATGCATTTGCCGTCGGAACGTTAACGTTGTAGTTCTTAAGTCCGGACATTGTCACGTGTGTTTTGAAAAGTTGCTACGAAAGGAACGCGTGCTTCGCGTGGTTTTCACCGAAGCCTAAGCCAGAGGTTTATTGATAAACGTCGCTACGTGCAGCCGTTGTTTTTTTTTTTAACGGTAAACGGCATTAGCTTAACCGAGCGTAACGGCCAGCCTGGTCCTGTTTAAGCGTTAAGGTTTAATCGGTCTCACCAGGGTGTTATTACTTTGTCCGCGCATGTTGGCTGCATGAGAAGAGTCCACTAGAAAGAAGACACGAAGAGAAGCTTATCATTATGGTGTTCTTCACTTGCAACGCATGTGGCGAATCCTTGAAAAAAGCCCAAGTCGATAAACATGGAATGAAGTGCCGTGGCTGCCAAGTTCTGTCCTGTATCGACTGCGGAAAAGACTTTTGGTAATAACTGTTTTCTTTAACCAGCAGGGTTTTTTTTATTTTTAGATGCAGTATTGTCAAAATGTGCTTCATTTTAAACCGTTCCAATGACTGTCTGGCCATATGCTTCATGTCATTATCATGGAGGAACCTCTCCCACATCCCAAACCAGATCCTGATAGGTCTTCCATCCAGGATTGCCCTCCATTTAGCTCATTTTTCTATCAACTCTAACCAGCTTCTTTCCCCACTAAGAAAAAAAAAACTGTTAAGTGTAATGCTGCCATTGTAGTGTTCTTGATATTTACACAATTTTGTGTCAGAGCACCTCCTTCCTTTCATGCTCTGTGGTGAGTCGTGCAATTCTAACACATCAAATTACAGTAAAATGCATTATAATTAGTGGCCCCCCTTGCAGAATGTGAAAGAATTCCAGGTGTTTGGAACGTTTTTTTTGCAAGGTACTTCACCACATTTGAGATGGTGTCTCATCCTGGTTGTCTCACACATAGGGGCGAAGACTACAAAAACCACACCAAATGCATCAGCGAGGATCAGAAATACGGTGGAAAAGGCTACGAGGCCAAGGCGAATAAAGGAGATGTGAAACAGAAGCAGTGGTTACAGGTCAGCAGCCCTCATTGAAGGTTTGCGTATGCGTGATTAAGGAGAGTTGCTTCTCTTCATGCTCGTCTTGTTGAACCTTTGTCGTGCAGAGAATCAGTGAGGCCATGAACAAACCCGGGGTCAGCGCCAAGCTGAGAGATGTGCTCTACCAAGTTAGCGGCTATGAAAACGTGCCGAGGAAAAAGGCAAAGTTTCAGGTCGGTACGACGTACAACATTAAAAGCTTTTATTTTGTTTAAAGTGCTTTAAATGAAGGAGGGAAGCTTTGGGTGAATGAATGCCTTGTGACCACATGATCAGTGATAAATGATTATTTTTTTCCCTCTTTCTCGCTCTCTTCAGAACTGGATGAGGAGCAGTTTAAAAATATCAAACACTGGGCTACAGGAGGAGGTGTGGGACATAATTGCTGCTGCAGACAGTGTGAGTTATTTTAACTTGTTTTATCAAGATACTCATCATTTGCTTGGATGTCCCACATTTTTTTGTGCTTTGGGTCTTTTGATCAGTTGGAAGCAAACATTTCTTTTTTTGTATAAAAGATGTCAGAAGGCTTAGATTTTAGTATATTTATAAGTTGTATTTAAAAGCACTTTATTGCCTATTTTAATAATTATATTTTACGAGAAATGAATCCTTGCGCTCTGTAGCGCTGGCCTTTTATATGCATGCCAAGATTAATTTATATGTGCTTGTTTAATAATGGATGTAAAAAAAACAAAAAAAGTTTAAAAAATCACTTAATTTTTTATCACCCATCAATAAGGCTCCTCCGGCCACACAAACGACCAAAGAACCTGCAGACATCCGAGTGGACACCAACGGAACTGAGGACCAAGAAGACCAGTCCAACACTGAAGAGGACAAGAAGAAGAAGAAGAAGCTGAACAAACGGGAGCGCAAAGAGGCCCGTCAGCAAAAGAATGGAAAAGCCCCTAAGGGAACAGCAGAAGAACCAGAGAACGGCCAGACAGGCAAACAGAAAAAGAAGGACAGAAAGAGAAAACACAAAGGAGATGAAGACCAGCTTGAGAGCGGCATTGAAGAAGATTTTAAGAAAGCAAAGAGTAAATAACATTTTATTCTTTTAAATTGAAATGGTCTGTTGTCAAAGCATGCTTGTCGTAATTATATTAAGTTGTTTGTACGTATATTTGCTTCAGATTTTATATGAAATATTGTTCTTTTGCAGTTGATGACACCGCAGAGCCAGAGGAAACTGAAGATCAAGCCACGTCTCGGGGTAACACGGCCTTAGATCCACTTAAAGTTCTGCCACATATTACCATCACACTTTAATAAATATGTGTGTGGCTTGTTAATTACATCGCCAAAGAAATAAGAAAATATTTTGTTTTCACTGACCTCTGACAGCAGAGGTCGGTGTTGGCTCTTCGTTTTCACCGAGAAAACGACCCTCACCAAACCTAACTATGTTACCCACACAGGCAAATTCAACTGGAAGGGAAACATCAAGGCAGTGCTGAGAGAGTCACCTGACCAGGAGCTGTCAGTGAAAAGACTCAGAAAGAAGGTGAGAAAGAAAGAAACGCATTTCCGTCTGCATGACACACGTATTCAACTTGCCTCTACCCTGAATATGGCCATCTTTAAATACGAAACATAACTTGACATTGGGTAAAGAGTCTATTTTTTCTGTCCTTTGCAGGTTTTGTCAGCCTACTACTCTTTCACCGGTGACATAAATTTCAAAACGGAAGATGAGCTGTCGGCACTTTTCAACAAAAAGATCACCAAAAACCCCAAGTTTAGAGTTTTAAAAGACAGAGTGAAGCTTTTAAAGTAGACTCCTCCTTTAGCAGCATGTTCTCCATGGATTTAAATGAACGTTATTGTTGCTGTTCTCCTTGGTGGCTTTTTATACAAATGAACAATTTCGGGGATTAAATGGTTTTACGCAGTGAGCCTGGTCGTTGTAATCAATACGCACACGCTTGGAACACGCCAGTTCTGTTTAATGTATAAAATGACGGTTTCAACGGAAGGCTGCTCTGTTGCGCATTCCAAGCTCACGGTAAGGCTGGGGAACGGCACCTTATCTGTGGGATTGGATGTTGCCGTGGGGAGGGTGCACCTGAGCTGAATCCGACTCTCACACGGGACGAAGCTAATGCACATTCCTCCGCACTGCGAACGGGGTTCACTTGGCCGGAGACACAGAAGCTCCATAGAAGCAAGATGCTTGGTGTCAGCCTCAGGTGAAGTTTTAATGCTTTCTGATTTTCCACGACTAGAATAAGCAGTTTCTTTACCCTGTACACACACGCACACATTCATTCACACACACACTTACAGAGAATGAGTAAACCTGCCCAGCTTTATGAAGCTCCTCTAATCCCAGAAGGTTTAACACTGATGCTCATTCATCACGCTGCTTACCTGTAACACTATATGGCATACTCTGGGTTTTAGTCGAGCTGTTACTCAAGTTTGCTAGTATTAAAATAATGTTTTCTCATTCAACCTGCGTCAGTTGGATTTAAGTCTTGTATTTTGATCCAGACCTCACAGGATATTGAATTAATCACATCTTTACTGTTTTGGAGGTCTGGGGTTGTTTTAAAAATGTTGCATTCTTCCAGTCCAAATATCTTCTCATAAAACTCCAGGAACTTGTCATAAGTCACAAGGATCAAAAGGTCCTAGCAATCTAATGATGAGCACTATTCTAGTTGCCAACCAACTAGAAGTGTTCTAGTTATAAGAGTAACAACCTGACCACAAAGGTGGTTAGTTATAACTGTTTTTCAGCTAAAATAAAACTGAACCAGAAAGTACTCGCTATTTATCAGTATGTACGCTTTAACTTCTCCCTTCAGAGAGTTCAGAAGTAGGACAACCGTGTCAGATTCTTGCTCTATGTAAAGGTATACAGAAAGCTCAAGATGAGGTGTGACACACAGCCGGCTATTATACATTCTGTAAAGTTAATTACTGAAGGAAGGAAAACAACATACATTTTTAAAAAAAATTTTGTTTGACACAAGATAGTCAGATAGGTTGATTCTTTATAGATAAGATGCACGGTAGCCTTTGTTTACATGCTGCAGAGAACATATAAAGTAAACCTTTTTTCTTGGAAAAAATTTATCTTGCATGAAATTAATCTGTTTTCTCTTTTTTTTAAAAAATGGCTCAAGATCAGTTGATTGTTTAGTTATGGCAAGTTGAGAGACTTGGTGTATCCCATCAATTGAAAGGTGGTCGAGTTAATCTTTTTCAGAAAGCTAAGTTATCATTTTCAAATGCAAAGTCCAAATTTTGTTGCATCTCAGAATGATCAGATGCCAAGTTATAACTATAAGGTTTCAAAGCCAAAAAATTAGAAGCTAGCTTAGTGAAATCTGTTCTTTATCTTAGAAAATTTATGATTGTCACACTTATGAATATGTTAACTGTATTCAATAAGGTATTTTGTTTTCAAAATACATGAACATTGTGTACAATTATTTTGTTTTGTCTTTTTGTGGTCATTACTTATTTAATAATAATAATTAAGAAAAAAAAAACTACAACTGTCCTCGTTCTTACGTCATTGACAAGCGACGCTGCGTCCCAACAGGAAGCGTCTTCAATTCAGTTGCCTTTCAGAGCTAAAGTGAGTTGAAGAACAACAACAACAACAAAATGTTCAATGACAGCGAGCTGGCGACGCTGCGGAACAGATTCAAGAGAGATGCGGAGCTGCTCATGCAGGCGACGACGTCGGCCGTCGACGGCGAAAAGAGTAAGCTGAAAAATGCTACGCCGGCTAACTGCGTTAGCTTATCGAAGTAGTTCAGTGTGTTTGGAACGTTGGAGTTGGAAGACAGTCACCAGTTCACGTTCAGTTCTAACGTCTGTTCCAGCTGGTGCCGTCAAATGTTTTGTCATTTGGAAAGTAGTTTTAGACACAGTAACGTGACACGCTGCGAACATGAAAGAATAATAATAAAAAAAGGTTAAAAGTTGCATTCATACAGACATGTATATCTATATTAAAGTCTAATGTTAGTCATTTCAACTTATTGCCTCTGTCAATGTGTACTGCTGACACGGAAGTAATTTAGTTTGTGGGTTTACGACAGTTTTTGTTTTTATACACCGTTTCCATTCACTGCAATAAATAATGTGCATGACACAAAAGGCACAATAATTAGACACTTCTTGCATAGCCCAGCTACCTATTCATCACAAAGTAATGTGTGGTACGTCTCTCAAGGTGGCTGGCTGCATTTGTTATGGCTATAGTAAGCATCTCTAGACATTTTGGGATTATTCCGTTTTTGCAAGCAGCGCAATCCCGCCCACAATTCCTTGCAAAGGTTTTCGTGCTCAGATTGTGTCACTCTCGACAACCACAAATTTGCATGTGTTTTATTGGGATTTAACATGACGGAACAATTCAAATTTGTATTTTAGTGTGAAGTAGAAGGAAAATGATATGGCCCACTCAGTACTTTGTAAAACGTACAACAACAACGTTGTTGTTGTTGTTAAAAGTAGCTCAAGTTCAGTTGATTGGACAGTGAGCTTCTGCGTCAGTCTTCAAACCTTTACATTTACCTAAGGAATTGGTCTGGACTGTAGTTTGACCATTGAAGCAAATGATTTCAATTGACCTAAAAATGGAATTTCTTGCGTCTTTCTTTGAATAGTGCTTTTCTTTTAATAGTTGTCCTATTTGGTGGATGATCAACCAGGGATTGATCATCCCTGGTTGATCAATATAGACTTTAATATAGATATACATGTCTGTATGAAAATTGTTCAGTAATCTCTTCATCATCCTTAAACATGTCTTATATAGGCTTTCAGAAGTCAGTTAGTTGTAAAGCAATTCATTTAAGGGTATCAAAGTAAATCAGTTCCTGCACTAATACAGACTACTCTTTTTTTGTAAAAACAGTGCTTCCCCTTTAATTATGCAGTCATTCTATGTTGGTCTGAAATAAAACTCCAGTAAAATATATGGGGATTTGTTGGTCACATGATGTGAAAACATGTATGAGGTAGAACATCGCTTACTACATAAACTGACCATTCTCAATTCATCTGACTGCCACAATCTTTATCTCAAATTTCAGAGTTAGACCATCTTTCAGTCTTCCACCAACTTTTACATTAAAAACATGCCATCAATTAAATCCTGGTCCTCCACTACATTGCATAATGGATGTCACTACTGAATGTTACTTCTTTCTTTTCCAGTGTTTTTTTTTTTTTTTTTTAAGCTGGCTTTGAATCTATCACTGGCATTAATCCAGCAATTGACAAGTGTTTCAATTGTAATCAGAAACGTTGTCAGCTCTGATATATGATCAAGAAACTGCTCTCATATATTCCTGTGTGTTATTGACAAGATGATTTTTATATATAATTTTTCCAATCTTTAAATCTTAGTGCAGCTTCTTTTCTAGGCCAGTGAGTTCATTGAGAACTGCACAGAGGAGTCTAGCATGCCTAACCATTTCAGCAGCCAAAAACAGGCTCAGAGACGTTTAATCAGCCAGTAAATTATAGAGATTAATAGCTTTCTGAAAGGCAAGATTATCTTCTAGAAACCTATCGGTTTCACCTCAAAAGTTGCTTAAATCTGACAGAAGGAGATTTGCACATTTTGTTAAGGCAAGACAAAGCTCACATTTTCTTGTAAAAGATAAGACTGTTCCTCATAGTTTTACAGTATTTTCTTTTGAGTTTTCATTGATAGTGATACTTTTCTTATTTTACTTCCTTAACTGAAGTAGGTAAAACCCCATTGAGAGCTAGATATCCTTTTCAAGAGGGACCAGAAATCACCTGATTACACAACAGTAAAAAAAAAGAAAAGTAAAATAACAAAAAAATTATATATATATATATATATATATATATATATATATATATATATATATATTAGATCCACAATTCACATTAAGTACTTGTTTTTTAAAAATTCTGTATTCCACTGAAGTCTACATTACTCTCATTAAGAGAGTAATGTAATAAGTCGCTACACTTTACCAACGTTTGACGTGCATCACCTTTCAGGTCAGGAGGAAAAGGATCTGAAGCCCCTTCCTCGCATCAACAAGCACTCCGTTTTCTGGATCGTGGCATCGGTAGCTGTGACGTACTATGCTGATTTCCTGCACGTCATCATGGAGAACAATGACATCAAAAGGTAAAACCAATTCGCAAAAGAACTTTAGCATGAGTCAAAACTAGATTTAATAGTTCTCCCATTAGCGTTGTGAATTTGAAGATATTTTCCACCAAATCAGAGCAGAAGAATGAAGACATTACGTTATTGTAATAGAGACACTGTAGCTTTAATGTGGTGTAGATAAGTGACAAAAAAGTAAAACCCTTTCCAGATATACTATTTTGCATCCTAACGTATAAATAAAAACAATCAGTGTTCTTATAATTACTTTGAAAATGTAATATTAAATAAAAAGGACACAATCAAGTCAAAGAGGTGTAATATTAGGGTAATTTATTTCCTATGTAATGGTTTTACAATATAGATTACACAGAGAAGTGAACACTTACACATCATGATCAAAGAGGATCACTTCCACAAGGTAATTAACTCATTCAGCAGATGTTCATGTACTTCCTACCTGTTTTTTTTCTGTTATGTTTCTGTATGTAGCTCATGACCATTCAGCTTTACATTTCCTCAAAATACATTCATGTCTCATTTTTGCCAAATTCTGACTTAGATCACTTCTTGCACTGTGACATGCTGATTATAATATTTAAGTCATTAAAAGGAAAGTAATATGGAATCATCCACTAATTCGGGATTTAACATAGAACAAAATTGCTGAAAAAAAATTAAAGGAGGGTAAGGTCTTAAGTGTAATTGAACTGCTTTGGCTGGATTATTAAAGAACTGGATGCAAAATTGCAGCAAATTTAAAGTCACGAGACAATT